GTTTAGCAATTGTTCTGCTGGTGCTTCAAAAGGAATTCAATTCCATTTAAACTTGCATCCCGCAGTATAAAAGTAGAGACAAGAGATTTGTAAAGAGAGATGGAGATTATTTAATTTTTGTGTGATTTATGATGAAAATGCCATACAAATGTCAAGGCAGACACTCTGGCTGTTAATGTTAATGACTAGATGGATATTCTTAAATGTTGCTTCATGTGGGTGGATGGATGGTTGGGGAAGAAGGGAAGACGGGGAAGATATTTTACTTTTACTAATGTGTACTCAGGATATGACAGCCCTTTTATACTGGGCTGATAAGGAAAACTACTATAAATTCATGCAATGCATCCTTACTTGTGGAGTCTTGTAGCATATTGGCTGGAGCACTAGCCTCGCGTGCGAGAGGACCCGGTTTCGATTCCTAGGCAAGGTGAAATCTTACATCAATTTCCTTGCTCCACACACCTTCTGGGCCGGGCAAAACGTTGTGCATGTTTCCTTTCTCCACACACCTCTGTTTACCTAGCAGTGAATGGGAACCTAGCAGTGAGTGGCCAACAACCGTTGGCCGATTGATGGATCACTTTCTAGGGATAATAATCCCTCAAAATAACGTAATAATTTGTTCACTCAATCCACAGCTGTTTGTGGGACACTGCTGTGCATAACTAGCTGCTGGGTTTCACCCACAAAATATACAGTCATTTCTGTTTACAGTATATTCTGTGAAGTGCTTTGAAACATCTCAACAATGTGATAAGGCGCTACGTCGAATGCAAGGATTATTATTGCTAGTCTCTAGGAGCAGAGTGCACACCCAGCAGCAGAAATGCATAGCACCCAGCCCGGCCTTCCACCTTGCTCTCTTGCACTATTGCCTCAGGAAACAGTATGAGGGCTTAACCTTGAGACAAGCATTGTGGAAACTGGTTCATTTATCCTGTAGTGCTGCTGTGGATGTTAGTGTTATGATATTAAATGATTGTGGATCCTTTTCCTAAATAGATCTTCATCCAACCCATTTACAAAGGTGTTAACATCCAAATGAAGTACTTATCTCTTTGGCTCTCCTCATCCCAATCACCCACTGAAAAATTATTCATTTCCCTATTTACATAATTCAGTTTGTATCTATTTTAGATCTAAACTGCTGGCTCTCCCAGCTCAATATCTCATGTAGTTAAAAGGTGGGTTTAGAAGTCTGCATTTAGCAAATTCAAAGTCAATTTATCTCAAGATTAAACAAACTCAAACTCACCAATATTTATTATACACCACAACATGGAAAATGAACATCTTTATAAAGATTCATCCATCTGAGGCTCGTACTGGCATCCCAATTTCATATGTTCAATTTATAGTTTAACATTTGCAACATTAAAATGAGCACTTCTTAGCAGATTTCCTTAAAATGCTATGCCAAGGCTCAGAAAACATTTGAACATAAAACATAGATTAATAAATATCAAAGTAACTAAAATGTATGAATTTAAAGTAGTCCCAGTTATTTATTTACACAGATGTATCTTTTCTTCCTGAAGTTTTTCCCCCCGGTATTTCTGAGTACTTCCAGTCTTTGGTGGTTGTGTGATTATTTTTTTCAGAGTGTCCCATTCTGCTATCTCTTTTTGACACCCATGGAGGGAAAATTGGCTGTTAAAATTCAGACAATGGAAATAGTGTAGTCGATAGAGCTACAGCAACAATAATAATAGATAATAATCCCTAAAAAAAATCAACAATAATAATTTGGTCACTCAACCTACGACTGTTTGTGGGACACTCCTCTGCACAATTGGCTGCTGCATTTTGCCCACAAATATGCAGTCAATTCACTTTACAGTCTATTCTGTGAAGTGCTTTGAGACGTCGAGAAGATTTGAAAAGTGCTATATCAAATGCATGGATTATTATTATAGAGGTACAGCTTCCAGACCTGGAGTTCGCTGGCTCAAATCCTGGTCCAAGCTGACTTTACTGGTCTCAGCTAGGGCTGCATGTGGACACTAAATTGACTTTGGACTTCCCAGAGTTAGGGAGGGTTAAACTAGGCAGAATTCCTGCTCCTGGTCCTCCTACAGCACCCTCTACTGATTTTGAAAATTAGAAAAAAAAATTTTATGAAGCGATGGGGTGATCTGATTAGACAATTTTCTAATAATACTATATACTACATGAAGAAATTGGGAATCACACCCAAACACTCAGGAACAAGCTCCCAAACATCCAGTAGTAAAAACTGAGCCAGGAGGACCTGCTGTACTTTAGGGCACTGACTGATAACTGATCACTAGCCTGGCTCATTGGAAATACGTAGAGAGGCAGACCAGTCACTGAGAACAGGGATTCTTCACACTCAGCTCCTGCTAATCCTGCAAGCGAAAACCCTAATGGGTAGGATGGTCCTATCTGGACTAGCCATGAGAAGCTTGCCAAACAGTGCTCACATTGGCAAGGTATACAGATATACAGTTTATGATGGTTAAACTCCAGCACCTACCCCAACATATAATCTGGAGTCCCCAAGCCTTGGCTCTTGTGTCAGGTGGCATACGTATGTGGAACACTGCCTTTTTTGGATACTTATTTATGTTGTGATGAGTTTCCACATATGGCAGACACCTTGCTGACCAAAAGGAAGTGCAACAGAAAAAATTGCAATTGAGATGAGACAGAATTCTCACCATTTTGTGCCAGTGACTCCAGATATGTTATACCTGCAAATCTTGGTGACCAGCATTAACATCAAGGTGCAGAGGTCATATCAGCATCCAGGTTAAAAAAAATCTCAGACCACAGGTGTGCAAATTGACTGCAAATGAACAACTTGATGCCAGATCACAGGTGGTGTGTAATTGAGATGTAAGGACCAGAGGACACGGCCTGAATGGGGGTAATTTCTGAATAAATCTCTGGAAACACTACTTGAGTGAGCGAGTAGCACAGGCTCTCTAAGTAGACAGTGGAAGCAGAAAGTGTTGATTCTTTCAAGAACAAATTAGATAAGATTTGTATTAAGAAATAATATCTTGGGATGCAATATATAGTTTGGGACATGATATGTACATGCGATTGCTAAGATGGTGGAAGGCGAACTGGATGGACTTTGGTCTTCTTTCACTTAATACATTCTTATGTCTTGTATTGGATAGTAGTTTAGTGATGGACCAGAGGGTGGGATTAGCATTGGATCTGATTCCCCTCCCCCCCCCCTCACATGTTCCCACCCCATACACACTCCATCGCCCTATCACACACACTTCCCCACAAAAATTGGCTACATGTTTCCAAATAATTCATGGTTTGTGCTATTTGTGTGCAATGCGTTGCTGTTTATTTGAATGGCAAACCTGTGCAGGTCAATTAATGTCGGGATGTGTCTCACAGTTCAGCATCAGATACAATTACAACATGAAACACAGCGATGTGTCCTGAATGCATAAATCATGTTTTTTTTACTGCTGTTTCGTTTACAGCGTCAGCATCTCTCAGCAGTCAATGAAAACCGTAGTAAAATACTGCAAAAGTGCAAAAGATTGTTGAAATCACAAATCCATGGACTTCTTAAACGAAAGGCACGATTTCATTCTGATCTATAGACCAAAATGAATTGCATCTTTTTTTTCTCATACAAATCGCGGAAAGACTGGAAGGTCTGAAATACATTGCAAAGCGCAAATGGGGCATAAATTGTCTACAAAACGAGCAATTTAGTTTTTTTTAAAAAAGCACTTTTCCCAGAAGTTTCGCTTTAAGACTCCCTCCAGGAACACATCTGCCAATGTCTCGGGCTCTGTGCCATTTGAGGTGAGGGATGTGGTGTGGGGGACGGGGACATCCGCTCCACCACACCGGGAGGGCACCGGGAGGGCACCGGCACAGCACCGGGAGGGCAGAGAGCCCATAGTGAGCCTTGGCCAGTCATCCAGTCACCATCCAGCAGCGACCCCCCCCAGCTCCATCCCCACCCTCCCCCCAGCCCCCCCCCACCCCCATCCCCCCCCCAGCTCCATCCCCACCCTCCCCCCCAGCCCCTCCCCACCCCCATCCCCCCCCAGCTCCATCCCCACCCCCCCCCAGCTCCATCCCCACCCCCATCCCCACCCCAGCTCCATCCCCACCCCCAGCTCCATCCGCAGCCCCAGCCCCACCCCCACCCCCAGCTCCATCCCCAGCTCCAGCCCCTCCCAGCTCAATCCTCAGCCCCACCCCCACCCCCAGCTCCACCCCCAGCTCCATCCCTATCCCCATCCCCACCACCATCCCCAGCCCCACCCCCAGCCCCAGCTCCATCCCCATCCCCACCCCCAGCCCCAGCTCCATCCCCATCCCCACCCCCAGCCCCACACCCCAGCCCCACCCCCAGCTCCATCCCCAGCCCCACCCCCAGCTCCATCCCCAGCCCCACCCCCAGCTCCATCCCCAGCCCCACCCCCAGCTCCATCCCCAGCCCCACCCCCAGCTCCATCCCCATCCCCAGCCCCACCCCCAGCTCCATCCCCAGCCCCAGCCCCACCCCCCAGCTCCATCCCCATCCCCAGCCCCAGCCCCACCCCCAGCTCCATCCCCAGCCCCACCCCCAGCTCCAACCCCAGCCCCACCCCCAGCTCCATCCCCAGCTCCATTCCCAGCCCCACCCCCAGCTCCATCCCCAGCCCCACCCCCAGCTCCATCCCCAGCCCCACCCCCAGCTCCATCCCCAGCCCCACCCCCAGCTCCATCCCCAGCCCCACCCCCAGCCCCAGCCCCACCCCCAGCTCCAGCCCCAGCCCCACCCCCAGCCCCAGCCCCACCCCCAGCTCCATCCCCAGCCCCACCCCCAGCTCCCTCTGGTTACCTAGTGTCGCTATTTGCTTTAGCTTCTCTTCCACCTCGAATATCTCCCTCCCTCCCTCTCTCTGTCTCCCCCTCCCTCCCTCCCCCCCTCTCCCACTCACTCACTGCATCGCAATTGCAAAACGCTTGTGTTGCATTTGTTGGTCAAACGGAGTGAGCAGTGCTGTGAGTGAGTGATGTCTGTGCTCTGTCATTGAGCCTTCAGCTGAGGGTCGGCTCTCTCTCTCTCTCTCTCTCCCATCTTTTCTGCACACATTTTTTTTCCCTTTTTTTTGCTATTGCATTGCAACATTAGAACAGGAGGACGAGGAGAGGAGAGGGACTGAGGGAGTATTCCTTTCCCAAACCTGCGATGCATCGGATATAAACACTCGCCTCCGGCAGCGATGGGGAAGGATCAGGAGTTGCTGCAGGCGGTCAAGACCGAAGATGTAGCGGTAGTGCAGAAGCTCCTTCAAAGGCCGAAGCCGAGCAAAGCGAGTGAGTGCCGCACCGTCACTCCGCCGTCTGTGGGTCTGTCTGTCTGTCTGTGTGTCTGTGTGGAGCTCAGCGGCTGCACACCGAGACAGGGATTCATTTCATCAATCGCAGAGCAGCGCAACACCCCCCCCCCAGCCCCCCAGCCCCCAGCCCTGCCCCCCCCGCCCCAGCCCCCCCCACCCCAGCTCCCCCCCCCACCCCAGCCCCCCCCCCAGCCCAGCCCCCCCCAGCCCCCCCCCCCCAGCCCTGCCCCCCCGCCCCAGCCCCCCCCACCCCAGCTCCCCCCCCCACCCCAGCCCCCCCCCCAGCCCAGCCCCCCCCCAGCCCCCACCCCCCACCCTGCCCCCCCCGCCCCCCCCCCCCCCCAGCCCCCCCCCCCCCAGCCCCCCCCCCCCCCCCCCCCAGCCCCCCAGCCCCCCAGCCCTGCCCCCCCCGCCCCAGCCCCCCCCACCCCAGCCCCCCCCCCCCACCCCCAGCCCCCCCCCCCGCCCAGCCCCCCCCCAGCCCCCAGCCCCCCAGCCCTGCCCCCCCCCGCCCCAGCCCCCCCCCACCCAGCCCCCCCCCCCACCCAGCCCCCCCCCCACCCCAGCCCCCCCACCCCACCCCCCAGCCCCCCCCCCCCCCACCCCCCCCCACCCCAGCCCCCCCCCCCCCCCCCCCCACCCCAGCCCCCCCCCAGCCCCCCAGCCCCCCCCCCCCCCAGCCCCCCCCCCCACCCCCCCCCACCCCAGCCCCCCCCACCCCAGCCCCCCCCCACCCCAGCCCCCCCCCCCCCCCCGCCCCCCCCCCCCCCAGCCCCCCCACCCCCCCCCCCCCCCACCCCAGCCCCCCCCCAGCCCCCAGCCCCCCCCCCCCGCCCCAGCCCCCCCCACCCAGCCCCCCCCCCCCCAGCCCCCCCCCCCCCAGCCCCCCCCAGCCCCCCCCCCCAGCCCCCCCCCCCCCCCAGCCCCCCCCACCCCCCCCCCCCCACCCCAGCCCCCCCCCCACCCCAGCCCCCCCCCCAGCCCCCAGCCCCCAGCCCGCCCCCCCCCCCAGCCCCCCCCCCAGCCCCCCCCACCCCAGCCCCCCCCCCACCCCAGCCCCCCCCCAGCCCCCAGCCCCCCCAGCCCTGCCCCCCCCCCCAGCCCCCCCCCCAGCCCCCCCCCCAGCCCCCCCCCCCCCACCCCCCCCCAGCCCCCCCCCCCAGCCCCCCCCAGCCCCCCCCCCCCCCCCAGCCCCCCCCCAGCCCCCCCCCCCCCCCCAGCCCCCCCCAGCCCCCCCCCCCCCCCCCCAGCCCCCCCCCCAGCCCCCCCCCAGCCCCCAGCCCCCAGCCCTGCCCCCCCAGCCCCCCCCCAGCCCCCAGCCCCCCAGCCTGCCCCCCCAGCCCCAGCCCCCCCCCCACCCAACCCCCCCCAGCCCCCCCCAGCCCCCCCAGCCCCCCCCCCCAGCCCCCCAGCCCCCCCCCCCCACCCAGCCCCCCCCCAGCCGCCCCCCAGCCCCCCAGCCCTGCCCCCCAGCCCCCAGCCCCCAGCCCCCCAGCCCTGCCCCCCCAGCCCCCCAGCCCTGCCCCCCAGCCCCAAGCCCCCAGCCCCCAGCCCCCCCCAGCCCCCCAGCCCCCCCCCCAGCCCTGCTCAAACACTGGTCATTCAGTAGTCTGTGTGTGTGCTTTAGGGTGGGGGGGGAGTGGGTGCTGATGATAGCAGAGCTGTATATGTGTGTCCCCCACACATGGCAAATGATCCACTATCTGTGATAAGGGTCTCCCCCCAGTGAGAGCGGGGATGGGAGTGTGGGGTCAGCCCCCCTGTCTGTGTACCCTCGGCCCAGTCCAGCCCGGCTCGGGTACACGGGCAAAGGTACACAGCGCATCGCAGCTGTGCAAATGGTCGGGTTTGGAAGGGTTTGTCCAGCAGCCTGTGTGCTGGGGGCGAGTGTATTTTCGGCGACACACACACTGCCTTCGTTCTAATGTTAGTTGCTCTCTACACTAACCCATTCTACATTGGCTAGAAATGAGAAAAGGGGGGGGAGAGGAGGGGGAGAGGGAGGGGAGGGAGGGGAGAGGGAGGGGAGAGAGGGGGGGAGGGGGGGGGGAGAGGGGGGAGGGAGGGGAGAGGGAGGGGGAGAGAGGGGGGGAGGGGGGGGGGAGAGGAGGGGGGGGAGAGGGAGAGAGGGGGGGAGGGGGGGGGGGGAGAGGAGGGGGGGGAGGGGGGAAGGAGAGAGGTGGGGAGAGAGGGGGGAGAGGGGGGGGGGGAGAGGGGGAGAGAGGGAGGGAGAGGGGGGGAGGGGGGGGGAGAGGAGGGGGAGAGGTGGGGAGGGGGGGGGAGGGGGGGGGGGAGAGGGGGAGAGGGAGGGGAGGGAGGGGAGAGGGGGAGATGGGCTCTGTGAGACTGGAATACCTGCGGTGAATGTTAAGCATTGAAACTAAAAGCAGAATTTGTTGCTGAGATTTACCAAATCATGTTTTTCTCTTAAAATTGTACTGAACATAAACAGGAGTAATTCAGAGGAGAAGTGCAGTGTTGAGTGGGGGCACTGATTTTGTAGCGTGTTGTTAACCTGTAATATACTACTGTACTGTGAAGAACATGACCATTTGCAAAATCGACAGCAATCAATTAGCCGGAAGTCAATGAAATGGAGCTTATTGTTTTCTGATGGGGAAGGGGGGAGGGGGGGGGAGGGCGGGGGGGATTAGCAGTGAATTCCAGCAAACCTTGAGGAGTAACAGAGGAAAGTGATGCAGGAGTGATCGCATCCTCGCTCTGACAGCCCATCGGTCTGGGTTGGATACAACACTGATTCGGTGAGGTTTGACTGCGGTGATGATTCGAGGATGTTTTTTCTCTGGAGGTTAGGGATTCAATGTGATAAAGTCAGTCCACACAGGTAGGTGTTGTGTTGACAGAGGTGCGCAGCCTCTCAGTACCCGTTTCTACACCCTGGTCATGGATATTGCTATTTGGATTTAACCCGTGACCCATAAGTACACATTTCTCAGGCACCATTGCAAGGTGATTGGTGCTCCAGATCTGAGGGTTGGGAACAAACAAGACACTACTGTGTGCAATTGGCTGCCATGTTTCACCCACAAAATACACAGTCACTCTACTTTGCAGTATATCTGTGAACTGCTTTGAGATTTCTCAACGACGTGAAAAAGCACTGTGTCAAACAATGAAAGTGTGTTCAAATCAGCCACAGCCAAAGAACACATTCCTCGTTACCATTTATATTTAGAGGGATGAAATACAGTTTAGGCTATGAGGGGGTCACCAGAATCTGCCTCTAAAATTTTAATGTTTTTTCCACTTTTACTGTATTTTATTGCACAGAATACATAGCTTGTGTACAGGGCTGAGAATCCATTTGGATCCTTTCCTTTTTAATTGTTTTTGTTAGAATATAGTGTATCTCGATTGCACCACCTGCTAATCGATTGGGAGCGTGAGTTATTACAACTTGCATTTATTTAGTGCCCTTCATTTGGTAAAGTACACAAAAAAACTAAATTAAGTGCTCTGGGATGTTACCCTGCATGAGGGATGCAAGTTGTTATATACTGTATTGACAACTCTCTCTCCGCGGGAGGTGATCAGTGCAGTAATAGGAGAACTTTCAGCAGAATATAACTCCACAATTCATATGGCTATTTCACCACATGAAGTTTATCCTTTGTTTAGAATGGCTTTATGACACTCCAATGCAGTGCTGACTGTCCGAAACTCTGACTGTCCAGCTCCTTGGGACGTCCTCCCGACGTGAAAGGCGCTACACAAATGTAATTTTGTTGTTGTGCTGGGGTGTGCCACATTGTCAGATGTGCCATCTTTCAGATGAGATGTTCAATCAAAGTCCCATCTGCCTGTTCAGGTGGATGTTAAAGATCCCATGCCACTATTCAAAAAGAGAAGGGAGATTCTCCCGGTGTCCTGGCCAACCATCCCCAAATAAAATTCGTAATTCACATTATGGCTGTTTCTGTGGCCAAATTGGCCGCATTTGCTCACAAAATACAGCACTTTATAGTAAATACTGTGAAGTGCTTTGAAGACCTTCCTGACATGAAAGGTTCTGTATCAAATGCAAGTATTATTTATTATTATTTTTAGACCCAATGAGAGAAGAAAAGCACAAGACATCTTTTGGTTTTCTGCTTTTTTTAAAAAAAATAAGCACTCAGGATTTTATTTTCATTTGGTACGATAAATATTTGAATTGTGCGATATACCCTTTGCTGCTGATTTTTTCCTACTGAGAAAATATTGTTGATTCCTGTTGTACAGTATATCCACTCGAAAAAATAGTAACTATATTTCAGGAAATTCAGCAGTGTTTTGCTGAATTTCTCTCTCTTCATCTTCTGCCACTACCTCTCCCCCAACTCTACAGTACAGTAAAACTTGCATAAGTCTATCTGTGTATTGTATAATTGCCTAAGTCGTACATATGCCGAAGTCCCATTCAAAAGTTTATATTCTAACAAGTTTGACATAACTCATACTTTGCACAAGTCATATTAAATATATGATCCCAACTGATGTATATTGCTGCCGGTGTCATTACACTATTTGTAAGTTCAGAGACAATGTGACTCTTGATGAGTGTTCTGCAATATATTGCGGCAGGAACTATTGAACCACTGGAAATGATTAGTGTTATTTTGCAGAAGGGGTTACAAAGACAGAGATGTCTGTGTATTCCAATAGATAGTGGATTTCTTAACTCCAGTACAGAAGGATGGGAGCTCTGGTCATTGGTATTGACACTGCCAATCTCTCTAACTCGTCTGTAGCAGAATCTTGGCAGGATTCTCTTGGACTGGTTGAGCCACTGAGTTCTGTGTTAAGCCCGAGAAGGAAAGTCTAATTTAGTCTTTTTTTGGTAAGCCGGGTGTCTGTCACATGCAGAAACCTATCATCATGCTTAACCCCATTCTCCATCCAAATTAAGAATTCAATGCATCCAACGTACACATGGAAATCCCAGAGATAGATTGTTGGAATGGAATGTGCACTCTC